GTAATGTCAGATAATCACAATATCGTTGTGCAAGTTCTATTGTTTATTAATGTAAAACAGTTAGAAAAAACAGTAATGTCAGATAATCACTATATCGTTGTACAAGTTCTATTGTTTATTAATGTAAAACAATAATGTCAGATAATCACAATATCGTTGTACAAGTTCTATTGTTTATTAATGTAAAACAGTAATGTCAGATAATCACAATATCGTTGAAACATTTCGACGCACTTTGCTGAGTTTTCATTGTGTACTTCATCTATCTAACGTCTTTTAGACATATTTGTTTTGACTGTGTTCCACCTTCTAGTTATATCTTGTTAAAATGGTGTAATCATGTTCATCAAATAAAGTTCTGTCAGAAGCACATTATACATCTGTGGTTTGTGCTGTACCGCATCACATTTAGAAGAAATAATAGCAATTTAACCGCACGCCGCTGTCGACGAAGCCTTTCGCATAATACCAGAGCTGAAATGATACAATTATTTCTTTGCGAGTTTTGTAGAAAGACATACGTGACTTATAACTTCCTTAAAGCTCTAAGAATGATTGATAAGGCGGTTCAATTTATATATATATATATCTGAATCATTGTCGATCAGCCAACTTACGTATAAAGTGTTATTTATTTTCAATTCCACAGGCACAGCATGTGAACTGTTGTTTTCCACGATAATGACGTATTTTCACGTTCTGTTTGTTTTTGACTTCCGCGCAAAGCTACACGAGGGCTATTTGCGCTAGTCGTCCCTAATTTAGAAGTGTAAGACTAGAGGGAAGGCAGCTAGTCATCACCACCCACCGCCAACTCTTGGGCTACTCTTTTACCAACGAAAAGTGGGAGTGACCGTCATATTATAACGCCCCCACGGCTGAAAGGACAAGCATGTTTGGTGTGACGGGGATTCGAACCCGCAGATTGCGAGTTGAGCGCCCCTAACCACCTGGTCATGTCGGGCCTTTCACGTTCTAGTGAGCTTTTATTCTAACCATCAATCAGGATGAAATGAAGAGACTTTATCTTTGTAAAGGACCCTCGAACTGTTTTATCTGTTTCTCTTGTGTTTTAGGCTTAGCCATTCACAAAACTACGACTTTCCAAGTTTCTGATATCCTACGATTAATACCACAGGCTTGCGATGGTTTTATTGTCTTGAAATTTTTACATGTTATACAGTAATTCGTGTACGCTACATCCGAAAATGATATCCATTTTTCTTCATCACGTATAGATTTTTCACAAAACGTTATAACGCAATACATAAAAGAAGACGTAGTTTTGAGACTAAAAGACGAAGATTTCACACACAAAAAATCAGGATGAATGAGGATGCATATTTGTTTAACATCAATGTTCTTCCCTTTTTCTTCAGTTTGTTTGTATATTTGTTAACAAACGTAATGAAAAAAATGTTCAATGTAGTAAACGAAATAATAATTTGATCTAAGTAAGATTTTTTTTGTTCTTCCCCATTTATAAAAATCCTGACGTGATATAAAAAAATGAATATTATTTTTGAAATTTACAACTTTTATGCCTGTGTTATTAGAGGTAAACAATTTTTATCAATGGACAGTTATTATATATATTCATAAGACGATACTGAACGTCTCATCGATCTCTCTGTAAGTAATAACAGAAATATACTAGAGCAGTTACGTATTGAAACTTAAAGCTTAACGTAATTACGCTCTTCCATCGAAAAATGTAATCAGTTTAGACAGAAATGGTAATTGGAAATATACGGTATCTTTTGCTGTTTTAACGTGGCTGAATTTTAATTCAATTTTTAAAATTAAACTTTTATATGAGCGATCGAATTTCCTTTTTTTTTGTATTTGCAGATAGCGACAGCATACAATGAATATAAATATGATTAGATGAATCATAAAATGTTTCATGTAACAAGTACAATCAGTAATGTATACCTAAAGGTTCTCAGATTTGTTGTTCTTGTTCAATATGACGATTGTCTGTGACGTCACGAAGAAATGTTTTAGGAGGAAACTGAAGCCACATGTTTTTATGAGTAAAACAAAAGTAGAACACCACCTGTGAAAATATGTAGGGCAACAAATGTTCTTGAACTATTAAACACATGTAGAAGTTTCAGATTGCATCAAATATAGCCTTTTTAGGGTTAGTACACCTGAAATAGACATAAAACAAAATATCCCACAGGGGGCAGTATTTTTTATTACACCCTGTCGGTTTTAGAAGTTACTGATTAAATTTTCTTTGATACTGATCTTTTTTCATTTATTGACCTGATGTTTCTTCTAGATATTCGCAACTTCTCAGGCTATATATGTCTATGTTCTAGACTTGAACCGCGCTGTTGATGAGCCAATCACCAACGTAACTGGATTTAGTGAGGTAAGAGATGTTTCTTACTATTATTTTAGGAGAATTAAAAATTGTTTTTTAAAATATAATTTTAACTGAAAACAGGTCTGGCATGGCCAGGTGGATAGGGCGCTTGACTCGAATCCTGCGGGTCTCGGGTTCCAATCCCCGTCCCAACAAACATGCTCGTCCTTTCAGCCGTGGGGGCGTTATTATGTGACGGTCAATCCCACTCTTCGTTGATAAATGAGTACCCCAAGAGTTGGCGATGGATGGTGATGACTAGTTGCCTTCATTCTAGTCTTACACTGCTAAATTAGGGACGGCTATCGCAAATAACCCTCGTGTAGCTTTGCGCGAAATTCAAAACAAACAAATTTAACTCAAAACAGGGATAATATTATATATATAGTTTGTTTGTTTTTAATTATGCACAAAGCTACACAAGGGCTATCTGTGCTCTGCCCACCACGGGTTTCTAGCGTTGTAAGTCCGCAGACATACCGTTGTGTCACTGGGGGCATAATATATATATATATATAATAGTTAAACTGTCAAGCAAAATAAAGTCAAAAGGAAGGACTACGTTAATCTAAACCTGTGATAATGACATTTAAGTGAATAAAACAAAATTTACTATACTATCAAGTCTTGATTGTTTCATAAAAATATTGACACTTCGTGAGAGCGCCATCTATTGAATAATTTTATCAAATATTTAAACTCGAATAATCTCTACTCTTTATTATGCATCTTTTGCTTGCAGGTAAAAATTAATAGGTTTAATGTAAATTTTCATTAAGGAAATCTAAAATAAATGCTGAACGTGCTATTTATTATTAGGCCAAAACTAATAAAGCGAATATAAACTTATTTTTCATTATTTAAGACATTGTATACCAGCGTTTCTCAACCTTTTCGATACTGGGGACCGGGCTCCCCAGAGGCTAAGCGGTAAATTTGAGGGTTTATAACGCTGAATATCGGGTTTTCATATCCGTGGTGGACATAGCACAGATAGCCCATTGTCTAGCTTTGTGCTTAACAGCAAACGACTAAACAAAATCAGCAGCGACCGGTTTTCGGACAACTAAAACGCAGGTACAAACAAAAAATCACAACGATTTACAAATGAATGTTCTGTCACTTTATTTATCACATATCTGCGGACCAGTGATTAAAAATCACAGTTCTAAGTTGCTTGTTAATATTCAGCATATAATAATACCGACAATACAGAGACGATCTACTATAAAGGAATTTATGATATACAAATATCTTAGTAATTAAAAATGTTACTCTAGTTGCTGAGAATATTTTACCCAAAACTAGTTGTTTGGTTTTCGTTTTGAAGGTAAATTGTTGCCCCCAACGACACAGCGTTATGTCTGCGGACTTATACCGCTAGAAACCGGGTTTCGATACCCGTGGTGGGCAGAGCACAGATAGCCCTTTGTGTAAGTAAGTTGTAAAGCGTATAACGCCGAAGCCGTTTCTTCTTAGTACGATTTATCATGATAATAATAATATGAGAAATATTATTAAACGAACAATACCTAAGTGCATAATAATATTTCAACTGCATGGTTTCAACTGTAAGACGTTGGTTGTATTGAATATATTTTACAATTTCTTCCTAAAATAACCTGCATTACGCCAGTTAATAGTGTAGAGTTCAAAATAAGTTCAGTGAAAATAACTGGAAACTTTTGCCTGAACAGCAACTTATGCGCACATGAGCCAAACGGTATGGTCAAAGATAGCCAGCCAGAAGCACCCACCGCCACAAAGGCCTTGCTCAATTCATTGAATCGAATAATGGGCTGGAGTACCACTTTTATAACGCCCCCTATACCTGAAAGTGCGGAGCGTATCCATCGACATCACGTCTCGCATCCCGAACCTTACAATACGCAGCCCGACACGTTAATCACTAAGCCACGTCCACCCCTGTTCAGCAGTAATAACCCATTGTTTATCTTCCTAGCTTCTAAGTACATTTCACGGAAGGCTACGAGGTTTCTGGGTTTGATGTGTACACTTATATTTATTGGTATGTGAACGGTTTTATACGATACACGTTGGTTGTATGTCATGAAATACAACATGTCTGAAGGCTGAAGCTGCGATACTAGATACACAACTTGACGTATTAAATTACAATTTCATACACTGATCTAACAGTTACTCTTTATTCCTGAGGTAAACTCTAATTATAACTTTTCTTGTTACAGACAACGCCCCTGGCGAATTTAACGTTTACCCCTTTAAGTTTGCTTCACGCATGGCTGACCGTGCTTTATTTGACTGTTGCGCAGAATAACAAAATCAACAGTGATACTGATGAAGACAATCTTCCAGAGGAAAAAAACGGAATTCCTGCACTTCGACCCCCCGTGGTTATTATTGGAATGCTGAGAAAATCAGATAACATAACCGAAGAAAGGCAACATATCATGGTATTAAAGAAAATGCCTAACAGTATAGTATTACTTTTTTTTCAGTAAAATGTTTTGTTTTGTTTAGACATATGTCTAACCAGTTTGATCGTTTCTGGTTATTGTTTTATGTTGCTACTCTGTTTTCACTGGTTTTCATAACTGTTACTTTAGGCATTATAATTTCTACGGATTTATGCATATCGTGGATTTAAAACGTTCAGTTGAACAGCTAGGGCAGAGTACAAATAACGTGTTATTATATCAATCAGAAATGAATGATCTTGATCTATAGCATTTGTTTGTCCTCAGGCGGAAGAAATGTTTGTAAAAATTAGAGAAAGTCTTCGGGATTCTCCGTATAAACACCACGTGGTACCCACTTGTTTTATGCTCGACTGGAGAGATACGGAGATGCTGGAAGAACAGATGGAGAGACTAAGAGAGACGATGAGGATGCTGGCTGTAAACCAACCCCAGATGCCTGTAGAAGTTCCCTTGCGATGGCTAGCCTTTGAGAGGGAGATGGCAAATTTGCTGAAGAAAGACGTTTACATGGCAAACTACTGTCAGGTAACTTGTGTAGCCCTTCTTGATGTTATTTACAGGTTAAACAGATTGTAAAATAGATTATGTTGATCTCTCTCTCTGAAACAGGCATAGTCAAGATATTTATATTATACAGAAGTTTAGTACATTATATTAATGCGATTTTAGAGCCTCATAACATCGTAACGGTGCGGGTCGTCATGTCCGGTCGTGTTCTATCGGACGACCGTGCAACTTGACAATAGCCCTGCATCGTAGTTTCCATTGCATACAGCTCCGTCGTAAGGCTGTTATTTCCAAAATTACCTCTTCCTACTTACTCTCCATAATCCATCTAGTGTACGAGGACAACAGTTTCTTAACGCTACTTTCAATAGACCGATCACACAAAAATCCATATATAGGCGATTCTTCCTGTGATTTTACATGTATGTCTTCGTATGGAATAACATAAATAGCCGTTTCATTTTCCAGATGCTTGAGGTATGCGACGGTTGAATGGATAAGTTATGGAAGCAGCTTTGTACAAGTGATTTGTGGCGCTTTTGCCAGAAAAGGATCTTTCTTGTTTTGTTTGGGGCTTGTGGAGAGTTTTTGCTACTAACATTTGTGTTCGTAGGTTTTCACCTGTTAAAAAAACGCCGCACTTCGCTTATCACAATTGGAGTACGACTTGTTGCAGATATCTTTCTGAATGGTCCTGGTCTCCAAGGTTGATCCATATTCCACAGCAATTAAGTACAAGGGCTATCGTTGTCTTGGAAATTTTAAATTGATCCATATTTCTTCGCTTTCCACAGCAAGTAAGTACAAGGGCTATCGTTGTCTTGAAAATTCTAAATTCTCGATCTGAACACATCTTTATGATTTGAGTGTATAAATATTTTACATCGGAAAGGGCTGTTACATACTCTTACTGAAAGCGGTATACGAATGCCAAACAATGTCATCATGCAGTTCTAATACATACCATTTTCTTGTGACTTTATATAGGCTGTGATTAACACGCGATTTACTGAATCGCATGTTCAAAATCATTTTAATTTAACGTGCGCAACCGTTTTTAGAAGTTGCCTCACCTACTGTATGAAGCACTTAAGCCCATTTTATACCCACACTTGTATGAGTGTTAAAGAAGTGTTATTTAGGTGTATTTTGGGGTTTAAAAGAATTTAATAAGGAAATTGTAGGTTTTTTCTCCCCTTACTAAAACCTTTCAAACACCTTAAAGGTGTTGGGAAGGTGATTTTGCTTGCCCTAAGTTGCTTTTTTAACAACTTTTTTTGTTTTTACTATTACGATACGGACACAGGATGTCATAAACTAACAAAAAGTGGCTGATTTATCCACGATAGCTGGTACTAAGTACTGACTCGTACTGTCCTCCAGCTTTGAAAAGGCAGAGAGACATTCCTTGTACATATTTGTACGTGTCTTTGAAAAACAGTCATTTTCATAAATGTCATTTGGTGTAATATAGTTATTCATTTCTTTATCATTATTTGTTAAGCCTAATCAACACTACTTAACGTTTAAACCAAATTCACAACTTTTGCTTATTAATTTTGCTCAAATGATGGTGTGGTGATCCAGGGCTCGAGTCACGATACGCCGTATTTTTAGCTTTGTGTTATTGTAACCGCAATAGTCAATTCCGCTGTTCGGCTAAGAGTAATTGTGTAGGCGGCGGGAGTTGTTAACTGGGTGCTTTCTCTCTAGTGAGCATTTTCAAATTGTGGGTGGTGGTGCTATGTCTGACCCTCGTGGTTTTTGAACTGGTCTTTTTTTAGACCATCTGTCGCTTAGGATGCAGTTTGTGTTGAAAATACCAAATAATGAATGTAATATTCATCAAACAACCTTGCATTTTATAATCATTTGAAACTGAAAAACATTTACTTTATTAATGTAATATTCATCAAACAACCTTGCATTTTATAATCATTTGAAACTGAAAAACATTTACTTTATTAATGTAATATTCATCAAACAACCTTGCATTTTATAATCATTTGAAACTGAAAAACATTTACTTTATTAAATTGTTCAAAATAATCACTACAATTGATTTAATAATCATCACAACATTCTTGTGTTTAGTAATGAACCGAAACTTTACATTAAATTTAGGGGATATGCGATACAATGCCTTGATGAACATACCTATATTCTATGTGAACAGTCTTCTATTACACCAGCATAACAAAACGATGTACGTTACCCCCTGTGTCATAGCGGTGTGTCTGCGGATTTACAACGCTAGAAACCGGGTTTCGATACCCGTGGTGGGCAGAGCACAAACAGCCCTTTGTGTAGCTTTGTGCTTAACTTCAAATAAAAATAGAAAACGTTTTTTATTTCTTCTTGGCTTGCAAGTGTTATGACAGTGATTCATTATTTTATCTCAACAATATAATGTATAGAATAAATTAACATAATTTGTCCATCAAGCCGTAGAATCAACATTCTGAGCTGCAATTTAAACATCCCTAGATATGTAAGTAATTCTAGAATGTTTGTTTCGGATATTCACGTAAACTTACACAAGGGTTATCAACGGTAGCTATCCCTAATTCTGAACTTATAGACTAGAGAAAGAAAGCAGATAGTCAACAGCACCCACCGCCAATTTAGGCTACTGTAATCGAATAATGGGATTTGATTGTCGCTCTTATAACGCACTCACGACCTCAAAGTGTAGAGCGCGATTTTTTCTTTCAACGGAACGGAAACCGAAGTACGTCGGATTTACAATCTGGCACGCTAACCACTGGCCACGCCCAGCTCCTAGTTAATTTTTTTTATGAAATGATCATACCGGTTCTCAGTTAATTTGCTATATACGTGATACGTCATCATGAAAATTAGTATTAGGAGGAAAACATATACAATATTCAAATCTATGGTGATGGTTTGTTGTTTTTCCTAGCTTTATGAGATCGCCCAAAGACAAGGAATTGGCAAAGACGACGAGTTCTGGGCAATGTTGGACTTCTTACACGATCAGGGAAAACTCTTATCGTTTCCCTGTAATCTAGTTGACAGAACCAGAGACAAGTGGGAGGGAATCGCTGTTCTGAGCCCCCAGTGGTTCATTAACCACATTTACAAAGTTTTCAACCCTTCGTTAATATCAACTAAAATTGAGGTAGGTTACATTTATAGGGTATACTAACTTACGACTCTATATGTGTGTTTATATATATACATATATATGTTTCGTTTGAAATAATTAAAAGGCAAATCAATATTTTTTTTTTTTACTTTAAAAACTTTTCCAGACGAATAACTTTGTTATTTAGAACTTAACTTTTCAGCTTTCGTCTTAAGAAATGCAGAAGCCGTAACCGGGCAGTAACTAAGAAAGCCATTCATTTGGGGCTTGTTGCCATAGTTTTATGAAGAAAGTTTCATCACCGAATAATTCAATTTGAAAATAAGAATATTTTTCTTCCCAAAGAAAATTGTTGTTTTTGTTATTTAATCAAGAACCTCATGATTGATTATATTTTCGGATGTGAAGTTTTTATGTGTTTAATTTGTCCTGAACAAGTCTTATGTTTTAATTTAAAATCCGAAACGTTAACATGCAGCTCATATTTAGCTTGAAGTTTTGTGGTTTGGTTATAACCGACAAGAAAAACTAAATTCTTAATCACTACTGTTTTTAGAAATATTAGTAGGTGCTGATACTATTGCTCTGTTCTTAATGCTCGAGGCAAGTTTGATCACGTTTTTTCTATTTCTCGCAGAAGATTAGAAGATTCGATGAGTTGGTTTTATTTTTTGTATTTGTTTAACATTACACAACCCAAAAGATTTTTACATAACTAACGCATGCGCTGATTTTATTTTACTTAGCAACCGAAGGAGAACCAAAGTGAATGTACTAGTGCAACCAGTGGTTATCTTACTGATGAGTATTTTAATTCAATATGGAGTGATGTTGCAGATTGCAAGCAGACGTTCATTGGAATTCTAGAAAATCTGGATCTTTTGTGTGAACCTGGAAAAGAAGAAAAGGTACAAATAACAGATTTGATTTGTTCTAGCGCAAAGCCTCATTAGGTTATCGGCTCTGTCCGTCACGGGGAATCGCACCCCGAATTTTAGCTTTGTAAGTACGTAAGCCTACTACTCACCCACCGAAGGACGTTTTGTTGACGTTTCTTTGTTCTGTTTGTTTGTTTTTGAAATTTCTCGCAAACCTACACGAGGGTTATCTGCGCTAGCCGTCCCAAATTTAGCAGTGAAAGACTAGAGGGAAGGCAGCTAGTCATCACCACCCACCGCGAACTCTTGGGCTACTCTTTTACCAACGAATAGTGGGATTGACCGTCACGTTCTGTATTAGAATAACGTTATTCTTTTACATACTGTTAATTTCTGTATTATAATAACTTTATTGTTTTAACTATTGTGAATTTCTGTATTATAATAACTTTATTCTTTTAACTATTATTAATTTCTGTATTATAATAACTTTATTGTTTTAACTATTGTGAATTTCTGTATTATAATAACTTTATTCTTTTAACTATTATTAATTTCTGTATTATAATAACTTTATTCTTTTAACTATTATTAATTTCTGTATTATAACAACTTTATAGTTTTAACTATTGCTAATTTCTGTATTATAATAACTTTATTGTTTTAACTATTGTTAATTTCTGTATTATAATAACTTTATTGTTTTAACTATTGTTAATTTCTGTATTATAATAACTTTATAGTTTTAAATACGAAGGTTACAAAGATACTTAATATCGTAAACAGCTTTTCAGTGGATATATTTCCTTTAAACAATTAAAAATACGATGTTTTAACAACAATCAAACAAACCGATGATCAATCAGTGAGATCCTCATTTCTTAATCACAAAGATTGTTGATATCCCAGTGAGTGCTAACTCTTCTACTGTTGTTGCTAGCTTACATCTGTGATTTTATTAAAGCTTATTTTTGGAAGAAAAAATAATAATCCTGAAGCTCACACTTATTTACTTGGAACGTATATTCATGATCTAATTAGTTTGAATAAATATTACTGGGTATATATTCTGTTGAATAAAATTATTACAATTGTTACTCAACTCAATATTTAGCTTTAGAAAACAAAATTATTCTATTATTATGAATATTTTTGATAAACGTAGCTAATTTTCCACTCCTTATCTAGTTTATATATAGGTTTTACAAAATATACTATTAAAATTTCAAAATAGTAACATCAGTAAATATTTACATAAAACTGTAAAATTTTTTATTGTAGATGTAAAGTTAAATAACATAAAAAGGGTCTTCAGTAATCTTTATAGAAACGGAAAAACTAGCATAGCAGAACGTTTAATACATAAAGCACTGTAAATACATGTCAAGCCAATCGTAATAAAAAGTTTCATTCGTAAAGTAAAGCCTGTGGTTATGAAAAATATCCCCCCGACTCAATAAAATCATTGCAACGCAGTTGTACGTACCTCCTTGTATCATCAACGAGATAACAGACAAGGATTTGAAGCTGAGCCAAATGTTAACAAGTTTCAGCCACACTTCAAAATCAATAGCAGCAGGTGGCTAAAAAAAACCTGAAATCATATTAGACCCGTTTGACCACATGCTCGTCAAGTCCATAAAACAACTCTAACGGACTTTCGTGTTTTGGAGTTTGATCACATACTGGTCAAGTCTCTAAAGCATCTCTAATGGACTTTTGTGTTTCTGTTCTTTAAGCATGTGTGTTAACGTTTTATATATATACAATATATTAGGTTATTGCAGGCTGCACAAGAGGAGAGGGTCAACATTGTAATGTTTGTTCACCGACTAGCCCTGATCTATCTCATAAAACTGTAGTGCCATTGTTAAGAAGTAGACGAAGCAGATATGAGCATGATCACTGGAACATTTAGCTTTCTGTGCTAGTATCTTCTTCAGTAACATACAATCTAACCTTTAATTGTGTAGTTTGTATTGTAATTTAATTTATCTGTCCTATATTCATTTTTCACCTGATTGAAATTAAAAGTCACGAAAGAGAGAGATACTTTGTTATATTAGTTCCTCTTTGCTTTACACATTAACACTAAAATAATAAAAATAACATACAAATTAATGAATAATGAATGGAAAACATAAAACTTTCAAATTATCATCGTCTGGAAACTTTCGAAGTTCAAGCAATTGTTCAAAACAGTTAGAATAACTGCTGTGTTTTCGTTGTGTATATACAAAAAGGAGAAAGAGAAAAATACAGAGAACTTAAATATTCTATTCATAACCTCAAAAATAACTTAAAGACTCTCTGCTTTTTTTTAGCAGGACCCAGACAGCGTCGACAAGAAGTTGGACAATATATATTGGATTCCTTGGGTTGCTAGGAAACAGAGACCACACACCACGACTTTAACAGACGAGTCCTGCTGTCTACGCTTGTACATAGACTTTCATGACTTGTTACCAGGTAGACATTACCAATGCAGTCCACAATCATGTCAAAATTACTTGTCGAAGCTTTTCATAAATCTAAGCCTAAGATATACGTGTATATATATAAGCTGGTTAAAAAAGGTGATAACAAAGATGCATATTGGTTAAGTGACTGATTTAATTTAATTTAATTTAATAAGCAATTTAAGAGACTAGTTATGTTACAGGTAGATTAAGAGAGGGGTTACCAAAGATTATGGATGTAGACTTAGGGTGAAATTAAACTTTTGAGTTACTAGCGTGTTTAAAGTAGCATAATTTCGCAGAAATTTAGGAAAAAGACCTTAACTAAAAATTAAGTGTAGTTATTATAATAAATGACAAGTTTCCAGGCTGGTTTAATAATGTAATACACGAAGGGTGGTTCACAAATGTTATGATTTAATATTCTGGTTAAAAAAAATAATTAGTTATAGGTTTGGTAAAGGCACAGTTAATTAATAAATAATTTAATACAGAAACCTGGTACCTAGCCTGCGAAACATTACCTTAATGGTAGATTAAGGTAAGTGGTAAGATATAATACCAGTAAAAATAAATGTAACCTAATAGATTGGTTGAAAAAATTACCTTATCAAAGAATTAAGTTAAATGGTGACATATAATACTAATAATTATAAGAAAACCTAACAGTTTATTTGAGAAAGATTAGCTTAACAATGGATTAAGGGAAATGGTAAGATTTAATACTAGTGAAGATAAATATAACAGATTGGACAAGAAAGATTAGCTTATCAACGGATTAAGGAAAATACAAACGAACAGAGAGAATAAACAATATTAAAATAAAATGATAAAAGCAAGGGAATCCAGGTGATGAAGTCTAATCGTTACAGGTTCTAGTTTTTTTGGTAATGATATAAAATTTTCCTAGTTTACTTCGGATTTCTCGAGTAAGTTTATTTTTTGTTCAGAATTTCATACTAAAGTACTTAATATTCGAATCTATGTCAGATTTAATTTCTTAGTTTATATGATTGATTAATAACATTATGAGAAAAACAAACTTCATATTGAATTTTCCCTTTAAACTATACAAAAAAAAATTAAAAAGATGTAAAGATGGATTGTTAAATGGCAACAATTTGGATATTCCAGTAGGGTTATTTTCCCGCCTGGTGGCGAGACTTGGAAACTGGGCATGTAGACAGGAATGGAGAAAGTTACCTCAATTATCTGCTGATCAGGGTCGAATTGCTGTACATCCGGGACATGATTTACTAATTGAGAAAACTCTGTTTGCTCACGCACAAATTATGGTAAGTTAGGTTACTCTAAAACTTTCGCAAGTATTACTTTAACTCTACTTTAACTTTATTTGGAATATAATCTTCACGTGTCGTGGCTGTAATTAAAGCGTGCAAAGGTTGTGTTACCTTCTCAAGAAAGGGAATCTGACGTTTCACCTACTATATTGTTCGGGAAGACATGGATCAAATGTCATTATTCAAAGGTGTTTTTTTTTTTTCTGTTTGGCAAGAAGGACTTCTTTAATTGCTCATAATAATTTATTTAATCACTGTAGATAGATAGATGGATGGAAGATAGATAGATGAATGGATAGATAGATGAATGGATAGATAGATGGCTGGATAGATAGATGGATGGATGGATAGATAGATAGATGAATAGATAGATAGATGAATGGATAGATAGATGGCTGGATAGATAGATGGATGGATGGAAAAATAGATAGATGCGTGGATAGATAGATGGATGGATAGATAAATAGATGGATGGATAGATAGCTAGATAAATGGATGGATAAATAGATGAATGGATAGATAGCTAGATAAATGGATGGATAAATAGATGGATGGATAGATAGCTAGATAAATGGATGGATAAATAGATGGATGGATAGATAGATAGATGGATGGATGGATAGATAGATGGATGGATGGATAGATAGATAGATGAATGGATAGATAGATGGATGGATGGATAGATAGATGAATGGATAGATGGATGGATGGATAGATATATGGATGGGATGGATAGATGGAAAATGATAGATGCATGGATAGATAGATGAATGGATAGATAGATGGATGGATGGATAGATAAATATATGGATGGATAGATAGATAGATGGATGGATAGATAGATGGATGGATGGATAGATAGATAGATGCATGGATAGATAGATAGATGAATGGATAGATGGATGGATGGAAAGATAGATGAATGGATAGATGGATGGATGGATAGATAGATAGAAGAATAAATAGATGGATGGATGGATAGATAGATAAATGAATGGATAGATAGATAGATGGATGGATGGATAGATGAATGGATGGATAGATAGAAGAATGGATAGATAGATGGATGGATGGATAGATAGATAAATGAATGGATAGATAGATAGATGGATGGATGGATGGATGGATAGATAAATGGATGGATAAATAGATGGATGGATAGATAGACAGATGGATGGATAAATAGATAGATGGATAGATAGCTAGATAGATAGATAGATGGATAAGATAGATGGATGGATGGATAGATAGATAGATAGATGTATGGATAGATAGATAGATGGATGGATGGATAGATGGATAGATAGATGGATGGATGGATGGATGGATAGATAGATAGATGAATAGATAGATGGATGGATGGATGGATAGATAGATAGATGGATGGATAGATAGATGGATGGATGGATAGATAGATGGATGGATGGATAGATAGATAGATGAATGGATAGATAGATGGATGGATGGATAGATAGATAGATGGATGGATAGATAGATAGATGGATGGATGGATGGATAGATAGATGGATGGATGGATAGATAGATAGATGAATGGATAGATAGATGGATGGATGGATAGATAAATGAATGGATAGATGGATGGATGGATAGATAGATAGATGGATGGATGGATGGATAGATATATGGATGGGATGGATAGATGGAAAATAGATAGATGCATGGATAGATAGATGAATGGATAGATGGATGGATGGATGGATAGATGGATGGATGGATAGATAGATAGAAGAATGGATAGATAGATGGATGGATGGATAGATAGATAAATGAATGGATAGATAGATTGGATGGATGGATAGATAAATGGATGGATAAATAGATGGATGGATAGATAAATAGATAGATGGATAGATAGATAGATGGATGGATAAGATAGATGGATAGATAGATGGATGGATGGATAGATAGATGTATGGATAGATAGATAGATGGATGGATAGATAGATACTTTTGATACTTTTTATTAAAACAACCAAACTAATTTTTACAAGTTTGACACCAAACAACCAGTTTTTACAAGTTTGACACCAAACAACCAGTTTTTTTGTTTTTGTTTACGTGGAAATAAAAATAGATATATAGATGAATTCTACTAGGGCCAAGGTAACAACATTTACCTGTTGGGACAAAGTTACGTAGAACTACTTTCCTGTGACTACAATTGAGAACATATCTTAGATCTCAACTCAGACGGAAGAAATATTTTAAAATGAAACATGAAACGCTAAGGCATGAGTTATCCTCATGATGTAGAATTATCGTTGTGTCGAATGTGATCTGTTTGACGTGGACGGAATACTTCATAAATACGCCAGAAACAGTTTTATTAGCATAACGACGTTTCGGTCAACCGAATCCGTGTGCAGTTATATTAACACTGAACCTAGAATCTAGCATAACGATGTTTCGGTCAACCGAGTTTCTATTAAGTTATGCATATAGTTAGACATATAAATTAGAAACATATGGGTTATTCTTAAGCATGAGAGTCACGCATATAAATTAGACGTTTCTGGGTGATTTTTAAGCATGGCGGTCATGTACATATCTTAGAAACATCTGGGAGGTTTTTATATATATAGATTAGAGACATATTGAAAATCCACGAATAAATCCCAAATCTAACATAACGACGTTTCCGTCAACCGAGGCTGTGTGAAGTTACGTACCAACGACGTTTCCGTCAACCGAGCCTGTGTGAAGTTACCTACCAACGACGTTTCCGTCAACCGAACCTGTGTGAAGTTACGTACCAACGACGTTTCCGTCAACCGAGCCTGTGTGAAGTTACCTACCAACGACGTTTCCGTCAACCGAGCCTGTGTGAAGTTACATACCAACACTGAACCTAGAATTAAGCTATCATTATGACTCCAGAATTCAGATCGTGCTTTTATGTTGTTAATATCTAAACTATACAATTAACTGTTTGTTCTGATTTTCTTTGTAGATTACTGTAATGCGAGTATTCAAAGCTGATCACCCAGACTGGAGTAACAGGCCACCCTCAGTACAAGTGTGTGAGAAAGTAAGATAATCTACCTTTCCGTGTTTTTACCTTAATTCGTAATGTAATAAAATATACGTGTTTTTGGCTTCTTGTTTTAGCTCTGTGTTATAACAAAGAAATCACGTGATCTTGAGCTAGGACTACTTAAAGGTAGATAAGTATATGACGCTGAAATAATGATTTTACATGCCTGAACTAATTTACGTAAAGATAAATAACTGTTTCATACAAGTTAGTTTAGAAACCTATTTTAACCTGAAATAATGATTTTACACGCCTGAACTAATTTACGTAAAGATAGATAACTGTTTCATACAAGTTAGCTTAGAAACCTATTTTAATCTGAAATAATGATTTTACACGCCTGAACTAATTTACGTAAAGATAAATAACTGTTTCATACAAGTTAGTTTCGAAACCTATTTTAACCTGAAATAATGATTTTACATGCCTGAACTAATTTACGTAAAGATAAATAACTGTTTCATACAAGTTAGTTTAGAAACCTATTTTAACCTATTACCCTACACCCAGCTGCTAGCATCGAATTTATTTTAATCTTAAGAGTAATATATAAATAGATAAAACCAAAAGTGAATTGTTTTACTCAGCAATTATCGTATACTTTAACCCTTACTGTGTCGGATGCTTGAAAATAGCCAAAAATACTGATAAATTAGTTTGGTTTGTTTAAGCACAAAACTTCCTAGTAGGTTATCTACATTGTGCTTGCTCTACAGGTCGAACCCCAAACTTTAGTCTTATATGTTTCCTCAAACTTACCACTGAGTCATATGAGGATAATTTAATATTTAAAAACTATCGTTTAGTTCACATACACACAGAGACTCCTATTGTGCGTTCTTATTTTTTCCGCCGTGCGTTTCACAAATAAATCCAACGTTTGTTTTTATTTTGAAGCCAACTTGTCCAGTATACCCTCCCCCCCAAAAAAAAGTCTAAATTAGAAAAGCTCTTCTTATTTCCTTTCGGTTTTTTCACTTAACGACACTTCACAAATATGTAACGCGAAAGCTAAATTCGGAATGTTATTTCCATTTTCGTACTGTTAAAATGGATAATAGATTTTATAAAATCCTTGGTGAACGGTTTTTTCACTAAACGTACAAAATTTGTTGTTTTCTATTGAGCATTAAATTTATTTCAAAAATCACTGCCCCCCCCTTCCCCAGTGGTTCAGCAGCAAGTCTTAAGGCTTATAACGCTAAAAGCCGGGTTTCGTTATCCGTGGTGGGCACACCATAGAGAGCCCATTGTGTAACTTTGCACTTAACAAATAACAAACAAAGTTTTCTCTGCAAATATTGCTTCGTTTAAACGTCATTGTTAAGCCATTTGTTGATATTGTATAACTTTAACTGTAAAATATTTCACTGCCTGGAATTATTAACACATAGAATAATAACATAGGTGCGCCATCTTCTGGAAGCTGAGCTTGAAAAATTGCGTAACAGCTGGTACAAACGTTTGTACTTCTGTCTTTGCGTGTCATGCCCATGCAAGAAGACTTGTGTACAACACGGCATACCAGGATGTGGAGGTCGTTCATGTCTTCATCTGCTACCACTCAATGATTGCCTAGCCCAGAAGGTAAGGAAGATGGCTGACAAATGTACTATAATAGTATATAGGTATAATCGAGTAAAAAAATACTTACTTCTTTGTACAACACCAAAGAAAACTGAAAAAAAAAACTCCGCCACTGAGTTTTATAACATTTTCCATCTACTTACGATTGTTGATTAATTCTTGTATTAGGAGGTGAATTAATTTTCCGCCACTGAGTTTTATAACATTTTCCATCTTCTTACGATTGTTGATTGATTCTTGTATTAGGAGGT